ATAATCATCATTATCATCACTGCTATTATTATTATTATTATTGTTATTATTATTATCATTGTTATTATTATCATCATCATTCCACTATTATTTTTATTCTTATTCTCAATCCAAGTTTGAAACATATATGTACAGGCACCGCGGTCATTTCCAAGGGACTAATGTTAATAAAATCGTACAAACCTTTTCTACGTCACTTATCGACATGCTTGATGCCAGTGAAAATACCACCGGAATTTGGAAGTTATTATTCGCAAGTTTCTTCAGTGTGACCATTAGAAGGTAGGCACCACGGTCTAACTGCACATTCCTTCTGCTCAGCAAATAGTTCGCTAATTTAACAGCTTCATCCTGCAAAATGTCGATTTTTTAACACGCTAGAGTGACTCACAGAGTAATTTCTTGATATCAATTTTCAACAAAAAGCAGTATTTCCAAATGAAGTTTCTTTTTTTACAGTAAAATTTTTTATAAAAATCAAAAAAGGAAAAGAAACTTCGTCTGTTCATCTTTTTTCTCATTTCAAAGTAAAAAAACCGTTTATCTTGCTAAAATTAGACAGGAAGAAAGCGCTTTTTCAATTCTGACAACTCTAAATCGTGCTTGTTAAAGACATTTACTCGGTATGAAGAATGTTTTCAATAAACTGCATGAGCATGATCTGAACAGAAGAATAAGCTTCGTGAATGCCTAATGATGCGGAGTTACATATCGACAAAAGTAGTAGAGCATAATTCAGGGGCATTTGCAGGGGACCCCGCCACCCAATTCAAAATGGCAGTCCTTCTTGTTTTTTGCAACCATTTTCCTTTAAAGCGGTTCTTCCTTCGTCACTTTCTAAGCTATCTGAGCGCTTGCAGACATGAAAACTTGTCTGTTACAACAGCTTACCACACTTTTGAATTTACTTCAGTCCCTTTTTACTGGAAGAAATTTTCCTAGTTAACAAATAAATTTTTTGCCTCAAATTCTCCACATTTTTGGTAACCATGCAAGAAAAATTGCCCTTTTCCAGGACGAATCATTAAATTTATATTGATGTAATAGTAGAAAGGAAAAGGCTAACGCTTTTCACGTTTGGTGATTTGTTGAGTTTATCAGCCAACGTGTAAATTCCATAAACGCCAAAAGCTGTGATTGATAAGCCTCCTTCAAGCTGTAAATACAACTCATTCACTTGAAAATCAAAGGAAAAAAACATAACTGTGCACATGCTGGTAAATGGTACGATGCTTACATGAAGATATTTGCCATCTACTTCATCGGCCTGACCAACCAGATCTTCGACG